CCACCCCATTAGGGGATCAGTGGTTATCACAATGGACGAATGGATGTTTGTGATGCTCATACATAAACTCTAAACTTTTAGATGATGTCTGTCTTTATGATACAATGAAGGGAAGCTTGAATAGATCGCTCACAAACTCGTAATTAAGTCCCAAGTCTACAAAATGTGGGCCGCTAGACTGCTAAACCGCAAACCACTTCCTGAATCAGTCACATGGTACGGCCGGCTCGCGAGGCTTCAAACGTCACCACATACGTCCTCGACACAAGCCTCCACACGCGATTCACAGAAACCATCCTGGGTTTCTCGACACGCACTTCGAAGCCTCGATACGGAGGGACACATCACTGATTTTGGTACTTTGTCTTTTCCTTGTGTTGCACTCTTTGCGAGTGCGCTTTGGTTCCATTCAAACCTTTTTTGCCAAATATCTCTGTGCCCGAGTTCTGCCTTGAGTTCCATTTCTGCCCCGCCTGGTCTGAGAGCGGCTTTTAACTCATTGGCTGCCAAAGACGTCTATAGACGTCTTTTATGTTTTTCAACGAGAATGGCTGGGGGACGATCTGCTAAAGCTTGTCCGTAAATATGGGCTTCTAGACAGAGTATGTAGTAACAAATTGACCCTCTAGGTGGAAGTGTCACTTTTGATGGGAGATGAGCATAGACTGTAGGCAAATAAGAAAAAGCTAACGGTTCGCTATGAGAGAACATGTCGCCGGGGGGGACGCAAGTCGAGGAAGAACGGAATAAGGTAGAAACACATTTTTTTTTCCTGATGAAAGAAGAGAGTCTACTCTTTCTTTTGGTGTGTTCGGTGTTTACATAGTCATAGCACAAACTATTCTGTGGCTCTTGAAAGATCAGTCAAAATGATCAAAAATCTCTGGCAGTCAATGAGTTAAACAGATCACACGCCAGCTGCTGACCATCAGAACCACAAAGGGAAACGGTCTCTGATCGGTTTGAGCCCAAAATGATTCAATCACGACTTAAGCCTCATTTCTGAGCATTTTGTGTGAATAAGAACCCAAAGTAGGCTGAGGCGGAACAGGAAGTGGACCTTTTAGCATCAGTCAGCCAGTTTGACTAAAACCACAAAGACAGAGAAGTAAAAGCCATTTATGAAACGCTCCTCTGGACTGACTCTAACCAGGGCCAGGAATACACTTCCTGTGACTTAAAAGCATTTTAAATCTGGAAACGTACTCACTTCTCAGCGGAAACACAAATCTGGACAGCTAATGAGGGTTTTTAGTGCAACATCTGAGTGTTTTATGCCAACTGAGCATAAAAACCTGAATGTTAGGCTTAGCTTGGCTATCAGCAAGTCCCGTTTAAAGCCAGATTTCTGCATTTTATACAAAATGAGGAAGAGGATACACAAAGACCTTCGAGGCCAGGAAGAGATTTGGAAAAAGCTTTGCTGAATTCAAAGAATATTTAGAAACTAAAAGCACTATTGAAGCAAATAAAGTACAAAAAGTGTGAAATTTGTTGTAGGAAAGTGCCGTAAAAAGAAGGGTTGTTGTTTTCTTACCGAGCACCACGCAGGCTGATGTGAGCTCCATGTTGTGTCGATGTCGTCTGAGTTTCAGACGGGTTTATCCACTTCCTGATCTGAGAGCGGAAACCTCGTCTCTGCTCAGCTGGGAGGATGTGCTTCAAAACAGTGTCATCAAAACCATAAAAGACAAAGAGATCAAACAGAAGGAAGCTCAGGTCTCAGATGCAGAAAGGCAGAAAGAGGACCCTTTCCCTCTTTTCTGGGCAGAAAAGCTCCCTCAAAGCCAGAGCCAAAGCAGCTAAGTGGGGACTGTGTGATGTGTGAGAAACAGTGGGGCGGCATTCACAGCCTTTTAGGTGTGAAAACCACCAAAAACTTAAAGTAACTCACGCGACAGCCAGTGGAAAGAGGCGGGGACTGAGGGGGGGGTGGGGGGGGCAGAATGAAGACTGGCAGTAGTTTTTTCTTCATAAAGGCAGAAATAACTCAGAGCCACGCTTTCAGCTTGTTTATTGGGGGTTTCAAATTAAATTAGAAAATTTCTAAAGAAATTTTGAGGGGGGCCACCTACTGCCCGTCTAGGAACCAGGGGCTGGTTTCATGGGGCCCTCAAATTTTGGACACTGAATATTTGGGCTCTTTATAATGTGGGCTTGCGCCTATGAGAGGGCCTGAGGGAGAGACGCAGTCATGGAGGGACCTGGCTGAGCTCTGGGGCCTGCTGACCGAATGCAATTGGTTTGAGCAGGTCGCGGGTCACATTGGCTGAAAGCTGAGAAAAAGACCTACGCAACGAGGTATGACATGGCTGGGTCCGGTCCCGACCCGGTTACGACCCGGTTGGGTCCGATCCCCAGAACCAGAACCAGAACCGGGCTCTGACTAAAGCCCTCTAAGCGGGCTTCGCCCGCCTGGTACCAGAACCAATGTATTACTTAAATCTTTCTAAGCGGGCTTTGCCCGCCTGGATCCAGAACCAATGGATCCATCAGCTCCACAGCTCACAGATCTTTGCTGATCGCCACGGCGACGGCAGCCTGGCCCAAGTCTCAACTGCCACACCTGTGACTCATCAGTGAGCCGCAGCTCTGACACAGACCCAACTGAATGATGGATCAAAAGTATCTTCCGAAATACTGCCCGATGTTCAAAAACTGAAAGAGTGAATTCTGAAATTTTCGACCGTGAGGGGCATGGGGCTTTCAGGTTTCAGCCAGTCTATTTTTTTTCCCAGAGCACCATGAATCCAGAGCATTAGGACTCCGGAGCACCATGAATCCAGAGCATCAGGACTCCGGAGCATCATGAATCCAGAGCATCAGGACTCCGGAGCATCAGGACTCCAGAGCATCAGGACTCCAGAGCATCAGGACTCCAGAGTATCAGGACTCCAGAGCATCAGGACTCCAGAGCATCAGGACTCAAAGGAATCATGAATCCAGAACACCATGAATCCAGAACACCATGAATCCAGAACACCATGAATCCAGAGCATCAGGAATCCAGAGCATCAGAACTCCAGAGCATCAGAACTCCAGAGCATCAGAACTCCAGAGCATCATGAGTCCAGAGCATCAGGACTCCGGAGCATCAGGACTCCAGAGCATCAGGACTCCAGAGCATCAGGACTCCGGAGCATCATGAATCCAGAGCATCAGGACTCCAGAGCATCAGGACTCCAGAACACCATGAATCCAGAGCATCAGGACTCCAGAGCATCAGAACTCCAGAGCATCAGAACTCCAGAGCATCAGGACTCCAGAACACCATGAATCCAGAGCATCAGGACTCCAGAGCATCAGAACTCCAGAGCATCAGGACTCCAGAACACCATGAATCCAGAGCATCAGGACTCCAGAGCATCAGGACTCCAGAGCATCAGAACTCCAGAGCATCAGAACTCCAGAACACCATGAATCCAGAGCATCAGGACTCCAGATCATCAGTACTACAGAGCATCAGAACTCCAGACCATCAGAACTCCAGACCATCAGAACTCCAGAGCATCAGGACTCCAGGACATCAGGACTCAAAGGAATCATGAATCCAGAACACCATGAATCCAGAGCATCAGGACTCCAGAGCATGAGGACTCCAGAGCATCAGGACTCCAGAACACTATGAATCCAGAACATCATGAGTCCAGAGCCTTGAGCATCTCCTCGTTAGTATAGTGGTTAGTATCACGTGGGGACCTTTACTTACCCACAACAGCTCAGAGGTTTGAGATCACTGTCAGCCGTCATTAGACAAACCTCATGCGTGCGATAAGCCGCCTGATGCAGGAGAGAGTGGTGAGAGATACCACACATTTGCATGTAGTTTATGCAAAGAAAAATCTGCTTCCTTCTGCCACCGAAACGTTAAAAGCTCACAGACTAACATTTGGTCGTTATTCGGAAACACAAATACATTTTTAACCCTTTTTTTCCTCCACTTAATGTCTTTGGTGTCTTTAAAAAGACAGAGACAGAGACTTCCCTTATGTTACCAAGTAGTAGTTGTTTAGTTTGTTGTTTAGTTTGTTGTGAAAGACTTGGATTATAACGAACCTTTTTACCTTGAAAATCAGTAGGTTGTAGTTGTAAAATGTTTCCTTAATGAAGCTGTGAGTATGTTTAACAGTAAACAATCTGACTGTGTGTGATTTAGTGTCTAAACTCTGAAATACTGACTTTATCCTGGAGCAATACCTCTGAGTTACTGTACACAATGTCCCAACTGCTTTTAGCTCTGAATCATCCAACAATAAGAGAGGAAAACCTGCTCAGCAGCTTTAGGATAAGCCCTGGAGGCAAAATAAACTTTCTATTGGGGCCCTGCTTTAACAGGCAAACCGATGAGATACATCATTTTAAACAGTGTCAGAACAAATCTTTTCATTCAACAGAGAAGGGAAAGAGCCTTTAAAAGGGGGTTTTGGTGTGTGAGAACTAAAAAGAGATCCCTGTTGCCCCGCTGGCAAACTGAGCAAACTATTTTCTTTTTGCTTTAGTGGACGTCCAACAAGGCTGAGAGAGAGAGAGCAGGTTTGACTTCCTGGTTTGTTATTCACTTGTATTTTGTTTGGTTTTGGTTATTCAAATCTGGCTTTAGGTTTTCAATGGCCCGTGTGCCAGAATGAGCAAACACAGCCCCTAAATGCTTCTGATGGACAGATATTTGAGGCTTTCTCTCTCAGTTTTGGTATTTTTTTTGTGTCTCTTTCTGGTCATTTTGTGTTAAATCTAAGCGTATTGCCTCCATTTGCTTAATGCAGGTCTTCTCCCACCAGTTTGCGCTCATCTAAAGTCTCTCAGGATAAAACCTTGTTTGGTATTTTAGGGTTAGTTATAGAAATCCTGTTCCTTTAGTCTCTGAAGCATTTTGTCTGCTGTGTGTGTGTGTGTGTGTGTGTGTGTGTTTTTTTTAAGTGAATGATTAAACAGTCAGCAGGGCTCCTTTAGGGCGTGACCAGGTGAGCTTCCTGTATTTCGGCTGAGTCACTTGCATTCAGTTTGTGCCTTTCTGTGGTCTGAGCTGCTGATTGGGTGTTCTTACTGCGTGTAAAGCGTCTGTTCCGCGTTCAGAACCGAGAAGATCCGTTCAGTTTGGGTTTGGTGACAACCGATCATGGCTTACTCGTTCATCTGCTGGAAAAAATGGAAAAAAGTCTTCTTTCTCCTGATCATAGTGTTGGGTAAGTTTTTGCTTTACAGAGAGAAGATTTGAAAACAGATCTGAAAGCGTTTGAGCTCCTTAAACCAGCGTGAATGTTTCTTATTTAATGCCGTCTGTAAAAAGGTAGATCGATAGTTTGTGCAGTGGGTCGATGCCCAAATATGAAGAGCTGCACACATTCAAATGTCTACAAAAGAACATTATTTTCTTCTTCACAGCCTTGATATGGTTTTTGGGATTAGGAGGCCAAGTGGAGGCGAATCCGCTCGGTGAGTTTTTTCTGACAGCAGTTTGAATGTACTTTGTGGTTTTCTCCTGCAGAGGAAACTTTGACGCAAGTCCTTTTTTACTGCTCTGTACTGTGTGCTGATGTCAGTTGTGTTCTTTATTGCAGGAAGATCTTCAGAGCCTATTTCAATAAAAGCAGTGGTTGGCGGAAACTTCAATTTGCAGTTTCCTCCCATTGATTCCAACCCAAAGGATCATTTCATAGAATGCTTGAAAGATGACGATGATATTTTAGAATTTAAGGAGGAGAAAATATCTTATGAACACGATGACTTTAAAGGCAGAATGAAGGTGACACATGACTCGATTGAGATAACCAACTTTACGAATCCAGATGAAGGAAATTACTCGTGTTGTAGTAGAGTAATTACAGCAACACACCGAAATTGCATCAGTCAGACTGTTGGTAAGTCATTTCAACACTAACACAAAGTTAACATAATGACATCACGCCCCAGTTGGATTCTTGTGTCTTGAGTCAAATATCTTTTGTAAATTCATCATTCACCTTCTATAACTCAACAGAAAAGAGTAACTGTTTTATTCTTCCTTCAGCTGCAAAAAGAGTCTTTATGTTTGAATGCTCAGCTTTCCTTGTTTTCTCCTCAGTGGTGCAGGACAAAGAGGCAAAAAGTAAAGGTTGGGAGCAGCAGTTTCTGTCTGAACATTTAGAAACCCATTTTAAATCCGCGTCTTTGGTGCTTTCTAATTAAAACTGAAATGATCCTCGGTGTTGTTACTAATCAGGTATTCGTCACAATGATGCCGTGTCGCCGGCAGTCAGCCCCACGAGTAAGCAACCTCTTTTTTCTTTAACCCTTTAAAGCCCGATCCAATTAAAAATAGGAGGTATATTGGATTTTTTTAGTCTGAAGTGTTTCTTTGGCCCCTCAACAACATATGAAGAAAAAAAACAGAATTTATTTTGATCAAATTAGCATGCAATAAGTCAAAAATATATGTAGGTGTAGTCTTCTACTGGCTGTTATCAGGTATATCTGAATGTGTACAACAGGGGTTTGAGCAAAGCTTTTACCACTGAACGATGCAAAAAGTCTCAGATCCAAAAGAAACCCGATCAGATATGACACATTTGGCATTATAGGGTTTTTAATG